CGACCGGACCCAAAAAAAAAAAAAAAAGAATTCTTGAGTTAATAATACTTAGAAATTCTTATTTTTGATCATAAAATGGAGGTTTTGTAAGCTGATCACCATGGTACATATCTGTAATTCCAGCTACTTGGAAAGTGGAAGCAGGAGAATTGTGAGTTTGAGATCACTCAAGCAAAAACTTAAGATCCTATCCACCAAATAGCTGAAGCAAACAAGGGCATGACTCAAGTGGTAGGGAATTTGTATAGCAAGCATGAGGCACTATACTTCAGTACTGCCAAACATTGAAAAAAACAAAAACAAAAACTAGAGGGCTGGAGGCATGGCTCTTATGGCCATTAGGAATTTACATCACAGTATGATAGTAAAAACCTCTTCTGAGAGTTTCTGGATGTGTATGTGGTATGCATTTTACAGGTACTCAGGAATATAGTAGGTTTTTTGTTTTTTGTTTTTGTTTTGTTGTAGAGTCCTGGGGCTTGAATTCAGAGCCTATGTGCTGTCTCTGAGCTTTTTTGCTCAAGGCTAGCACTCTACCATGTGAGCTACAGCTATACTTTGGGCTTTTTTGATAATTAATTGGCGATAAATAGTTTCAGGCTGGCTTCAAACTGCAGTCCTCAGATCTTAGCCTCCTCAGTTGCTAGGATTAGAGATGTGAGCCACTAGTATCCAGCAGAACGTAGCTTTTTTGAAGATGCCTGTCCAGCTGTTTCCTGAACCCTAGACCTGAATTTTGATATGTCTTATGTACTCCTTCCTACAGAGGCCGTTACAAGGATACCTCATAATCAAAAGGATTTTGGGGATCATGGGACTTGAACTCAGGCCTAGGTACTGTTAATTGGAAGAGTCTTATGGACTTTCCTGCCCAGGCTGGCTTTGAACCACGATCCTCAGATTTCAGCTTCATGACTAGCTAGGATTACAGACGTGAGCCATCTGCACCCCACCATAATCAAATTTCTTTTTTTTATTGTAAAAATACCATATAGAGATATACAGTTACATGAGTAAGGTAATGAGTACGTTTCCTATTGAGCATTGTTACCTCCTCCTTAGTTTTTCCCCTACCATCCTTTCTCTCCCCAACCCCCACCCCCCAGTTGTAAAGTTCGTTTCAACATAGTGTCTTATTGTTACAATGGGTCAACCTGTATCCTTATTTCAGCTTTTTGTTATTTCCCTTCCCCTCCCCAAATTAGAAAAATGTATATACAAGATAGAGAGCACCGTAATCAAATACAGTGAAAATGGGGGTTATACCTTGGGGGAAGAGCATACCAAAGAAACAAAAAAAATCACATAGTACATTATAAATGTGTTAAAAACAATATCAAGAAAGAAAAACTACTTGTGTCCCTATCTTGGGGTTCATTTTCAAATTTCTTAAAGGAAGAGATCATTTAGTTTTGTAATTGTTCCCAGGGTCTCTAAACCATTAGATAAAATGTATAAGTGTCTGGTATTCATTGTCTTCAGGGAAAATTAGTTATTAAAAATTTTGACTAGAGTAGCTGTAAAAGTAGAAGTTGTTAGTATGTTAGAAGAATATTAGGAATAATCTGGAATGTCTTTGAGAAACTCATACATGGTTCAAATACCAGTACCAACAAAAGAAAACACCTAATACAATGTAAATGTTGGACAGAGATTTGTTTTGTTTTGTCAATTGTGGGGCTTGAACTCTGGGCCTGGGCGCTGTCCCTGAGCATTTCAGCCCAACGTAAGTGCTCTACCACTTGAACTACAGGACCACTTCTAGTTTTCTGGCGGTTTATTGGAGATAAGAGTCTCATGGACTTTGCTTTGAACTGCGATCCTCAGATCTCAGGCTCCTGAGTAGCTAGGATTATAGGCATGAGCCATTGGTGCCTGGCATGTTTTATTTTTATGTAGAATATAAAATATTTTTAATAAAATTTAAAACTTTATAAACCTTGCTGGGTGCTACTGGCTCACAGTTCTAATCCTAGCGATTCAGAAGGCTGAGATCTGAGGATTGAGGTTCAAGGCTGGCCCAGGCAGGAGGAACTGAGATTTGTATCTCCAGTTACCACCAAAAAGCTCAAAAATGAAGTTTGGCTCTAAAGTGGTAGATCCACTAGCCTTGAGCAAAAAGCTCCAGGAGTCTAGGCCCTGAAGTCAAGCCCCAGAAACAGAAAAACAAAAAATGAAAAGAACTCCTTTCTATAAATCACTTTCTATTTTTAAAAACTATTTTTGTAGTTGAGGGAAGAAAGGAAAGTAAAAGTATGGGGAAACATTAGAATCATCTAGGTTTAAAACCCAGCAGGTTATAAACTATTCTTCATTTTTTCTTTTGTGTAAACATTTTTTATTGTTAGTATAAAGGTGATGTAAAGAGGGATTATAGTTACATAAGTCAGGTAAAGAGTACATTTCTTTTTGGACAATGTCACCCTTTTCCTTGCTCTCTATAAACTATTCTTACCTCCAGTTTGGTTCTGAAATAACCTCCTAGAGACCAACAGCTCTGGCTGACAGTCCCTTTTGCAGCCAGCTTGTTCTGGTGGAGGAATGCACCAGCAGCTGTGAGCTGCAGGTTTAGAGAATAGAAAGTAGGTTGATAACTACTGTCAAAACCCTCTTTTAGTTGTTGTTGTTAGCATCAATTAGTTAAACAGAAGAGTTTTATAGTCTCCTCTGTCATTTTCTCTTATTCCTCTCCCTCCTTCCCAAATGAATCTCAGTAAGCTTGATTCTTCCAGTGTAAAACATGTACATAAAGTATATTCGCCATATCTGTCCTCTTTCACCCTCTCTATTCACCCTCTCCCCTCCCATTAGTAGACACAACCCCAACAGGATCTGTTTTACATTCCTGTCATTCCCTGTGTATAAATATGTGTGTGTGTGGGTGTACACTGTCAAAATCCCCAAATTTAATGTGACCTTTTTTTTAAACACATACACACACAGGTACACACATATATCTGGGCTAAAAAAAATCTGTTCACCTGGTGAGCACTTAGGATAAACATTCACTTTTTTATACTTGAAAGTTCTCTGACTAAAATATATTTTCCTTCATCCTCCTTGCTTTTTGGCACCTTTCTGGATAAAGTGATACACCTGTTGAGGCACAGCGGCCTATTAGCAGTGAAATCTTGAGCCAGAGTTCAGTTTCTGAAAAAGAGCCTGCAAATGGAACACAGAATCCAGGAACACTGAAGCAAGAAAAAAATGAGGTAATATTTACTACTATCCTTTGTCTTTTAGAATCCTTTCTCTTGGCAAAAAAATAATAGCATTTGCCTGTATAGAATCTTTAAATAATTTTCTGTAATTTGGGAGTAGGAAGAGAACATCTAGACTTCATTATTGGCTCATTTCTTCTCCCCAAAGAATCGGTAATATACCATGCATATTGTTTTGTAAGTCTTTTAAGGGTTGGGCTGGAGATGTAGCATGCCTAGCACACACAGGGCTCTTGGCTGTAAAAATAATTCTTTTCACACTCTTCCCAAAAAAGAAAAGAGGCAGCTGGTCACCAATGGCTCATGCCTGTAATCTTAGCTATTCAGGAGGCAGAGATCTGAGGTCATGGTTTGAAGCCAGCCTAGCCAGGAAAGTCTGTGAGACTCTTATTTCCAGTTAGCCACCAAAAAGCTGGAAGTGAAGCTGTGGCTCAAGTGGTAGAGCACTAGCATTCAGTAGAAAAGCTCAGGGACAGTAACCAGGACCAGCACAAAAAAAGAAAGAGAAGAGCAAGAATACTTCTTAACTAATTCTATGAGGGCAACATCATCCTGTTACTGGTCAGATGAAGGAAGCTATTAAAAGAAAACTATGGGCTAGTAGCCATTATGAATATAAAGGCAAAAAAATCTCCTCAACAAATTACCAGCAAATCCAATAGTATATTAAGATTATACACTGTGGTTAGGTGGGATTTATTTTAGGATTCAAGGAATAGTCAACAGAAGATAAATTAGTGTAATATATCAGAATAATACAATGAGGGAGAAAAACCCATATGATCACCTCAGTTGGTAAAGTTGATGAAATTTAATACCCTCTGATGATAAAAGAAATATCAGAAATCCAGGAATAAAAGGGAACCTTAATATGGTAAAGGGCATTTATGAAATACCCACAGCTAACATAGTTAAGTGGTGACTAGAAGTTTTTTCCCTGACATCAAGAATAAAGACCACAGGGCTGGGAAGGTGGCTCAGTGGTAGAGCACTTGCCTTGCATGCCTGAGGCCCTGGGTTCGATTCCCCAGCATCACATAAGCAAAGAGAAAAAAGCCGGAAGTGGCGCTGTGCCTCAAGTGATAGAGCGCTAGCCTTGAGCTGAAGAGCTGAGGGACAGTGCCCAGGCCCAGAGTTCAGGCCCCACGACTGGACCCCCCCCCCAAAAAAAAGAAAGAATAAAGACCACAATGCCAGTTTCTACAAATGCTCTTGAGCATTTACTGGAAGTTCTGATGAGAGCAGTTAATCAAGGAAAAGAAATAAAAGGATATTCAAACCAGAAGAGATAAAATTATCATTTTGCAGATGATGTGATCTTATTCAGGAAAAATCCTAAAGATCTCATGAAAAAATTACGAGAACTCATAAGGTTAATAAGGTTTTGCTGAGCAAAAAATTAACAGAATAAGGGCTGGGAAGGCGGCTCAGTGGTAGAGTGCTTGCCTTGCATGCATGAGGTCCTGGGTTCGATTCCTCAGCACCACATAAGCAGAAAAAGCCTTGTTCAAAAGATAGAGCGCTTGGGCTGAGAAGGTGGCTCAGTGGTAGAGGGCTTGCCTTGCTTGCCTGGGGCCCTGAGTTCGATTCCTCAGTACTACATAAGCAAAAAGAAAAAAGCCGGAAGTGGTGCTGTGGCTCAAATGGTAGAGCACTAGCCTTGAGCTGAAGAGCAGAGGGACAGTACCCAGGCCGAGTTCAGGCCCCACGACCGGACCCAAAAAAAAAAAAGATAGAGCGCTAGCCTTGAGCTGAAGAGCAGAGGGACAGTGCCCAGGCCCAGAGTTCAGGCCCCACGACTGGACCCAAAAAAAAAAAAAAAAAGATAGAGGGCTAGCCTTGTGCTGAAGAGCTGAGGGACAAGTGCCCAGGCCCAGATTTCAGGCCCCACTACTAACAAAAATAAAGACATTTACACTGCAAACTACAGAACATTGCTGAGAGAAATGTTAGAGGCTTTAAAGGAAATAAGTCCTGTGTTCATGAATAGGAAATGTTAACTTTGTTAAATTGTGATTACTACCTAGGATAATCTACAGATACAATGTATTCCCTATAAAACTTCCAGAGTCTTTTTGTGTAATCATGCCTGCTTAATTTTGGCTACTGGGCAGGCAGCGATCTGGAGGATTATGGGTTGATGTTATCCTAGACAAAAAGTTAATGAGATTGTCACTCAATTAATGAAAAGCCTGCTGTACTGGTGTGTGCCTGTCTTCTCAGCTGTGTGAGAAATGCAGGCTGACTGCAACTGAAGCTGTATAGCCCACTCAGTGTAGGGGCCCTAGTTCAGATCCCAGTATCTCACACACACACACACACAATCTACAGTCTCTTTTACAGTAATAAATCTAAAGCTCAAGTTCATAAGGAATTGCAAGATACCCCAAATAGCCAAAAAGTTTTGAAAAGGAACAAATTTGTAAGACTTATTTTATGATTTTTAAATTTGTTACAAAGTACTGAAAGTGTGGTAGATACATAAACAATGGAATAAAATAGAGCATGTAGAAGTTATTTCATATAGTCAGTTGATTTTTTAAATTTAAATTTTATTGTCAAGATGATATATATAGAGTTACATTACATTTCTTGTTGGACTTGTTATCCCCTCCCTCATTTTTTCTCCCACTATTCTTCTACCCTCCAACCTCTTCAAGTTGTACAGATAATTTCCACCATATTGTCTTGTGAGAGTCAGTTGATTTTTGCAAGGATGCCAATCCAATCAGGAGAGAAACAATAGTTTCTTTAAAAATAGTCTCTTTACCTGCAGCAACTAGATTTCCATATGAAAAGAATAAAGCTGGATATCTACCTCATACCATATACAAAAATTAACTCAGAATGGGTCACTAGTCTATAAGGCTAAGCCATAAAGTCTGCTTTTATTATGTATTCATAAATGGGACACCAAAAGTATAAGCAAAAAAAGTAAAAATAAATTTTACTTTATCAAAATTAAAAGCTTTTGTAGATCAAAAAAATGTTATTAAGGAAGTGAAAAAGGCAATTTACAGAATGGAACAAAATATTTATAAATTAAATCTGATAAACTTTTTTTTTGGGGGGGTTCCGGTCGTGGGGCCTGAACTCTGGGCCTGGGCACTGTCCCTCAGCTCTTCAGCTCAAGCCTAGCGCTCTACCACTTGAGCCACAGCACCACTTCCGGCTTTTATCTTTTTGTTTATGTGGTACTGAGGAATCGAACTCAGGGCCTCAGGCAAGCAAGGCAATCCCTCTACCACTGAGCCACCTTCTCAGCCCAAAGCGCTTTATCTTTTGAACAAGGCTTTTTCTGCTTATGTGGTGCTGAGGAATCGAACCCAGGGCCTCAGGCATGCAAGGCAAGCACTGTACCACTGAGCCAACTTCCCAGCCCAAATCTGATAAACTTTAAAATCTAGAATTATATAAAAACTCTTACCACTCAGCAACAAAATGACAATCCAAATTAAAAATGGGCAAAAGAACTCTATCTGTGGCTCACGACTGTAGCCCTACCAACTTGGAGGCTGAGATTTGAAGATTATGCTTTGAAGCCAGCTTCGGCAGAAAGTATGTGAGACTTATCTCCAATTAATACCAAATTTAGAAAAATAAAGCAGTTTGAATCCTTATACAATTGCTGGTTGGAATATAAAATGTTCAGTGCAGTTACTGTAAAGACTTTTTAGAAGGGGTTAGGGAAAATGTAGCTAGCCTTTTCAAGGTCCTAGGTCCATCCCCAGCACCTCACACACACACACACACAAAACAAAAACAAAAAAAAACCCACAAACAAAAAAGTAGAAAAGGGTTGATTGGTTCTTTAAGAGCTAAACATAGGACTGCAGATGTGGCTCAATGGTAAGAGGACCTGTCTGGCAGATGTGAGGTCCAAAGTTCAAACCACAGTACTACACAATAAAACTCTAAACATAAAATTATTATATGACCATTTGTTTTCATCCATAGGTATAAGCCCAAAACAGTAAGATCAGAGATAAGCATTTCCATACCATACTTATAACAGCACTGCTCATGATGGCCAAAGATGAAAATAATCTATTTGTCTACTGGTAGAGTGGAAAAACAAAATGTGGCATATATACACAATGGAATATTGTTTAGCCATAACAAGTAATGATGTTCTAACACATGCTATGAAGTAGATGAACCCAGCCAGCACCAATGGTTCATACCTGTAATCTTAGTTACTCAAGAGACTGAGATCTTAGGATCATGGTTCAAAGCCAGTCCAGAAGGAAAGTACATGAAATTCTTATCTCCAGTGAGCAACCAGATAACCAGAAGTCAAACTGTGGCTCAAGTGATAGATTGCCAGCCTTGAGAGAAAAAGCTAAGGGTCAGCTCTCTGGCCCTGAGTACAAGCCCCAATACTGGCATAAAACTGAACAAACAAATCCAAGGAAAAAACCCAAAGTGGATGAACCCTGAAAACCTCAGACTCTATGAACTAATCAGATTAAAAAGAACAAATATATGGTTTCCACCTATATGAAATATGTAGAATAGGTTAATTCATAGATGCAGAAATAGAATAGAGATTACCTGGGGCCAAAAGGAAAAGAAAATAGGAGTTATTGCTGAATAGTTAAATTTCTTTTTTATTGTATTTTAATATATTTTTATTTTAAAGATACTGTACAGAGGGGTTACAGTTACATGAGTAAGGTAATGCGTACATTTCCTATCGAGTATTGTTACTCCCTCCTTTGTTTTCCCCCTACCAGCCCTTCCCTCCCCACCTCCCTAACTCCTCCCTCCCTTTCCTCCTCCCCCCAAGTTGTAAAGTTTGTTTTCAACATAGTGTCTTGTATATCTCATAATACAGTGGATCAACCTGTATCCTTGTATCAGCATTTTGTAATTTCTCTTTCTCTCCCCAAATTAGAAAAATGTATATACAAGATGCAGGGCAGTGGAACAGGAGTTATATCATGGAGAAGAACATACAAAAGAAACAAAAAAAATCACATAGTACATTGTTAGTTGTAATTTCTGTATGGAATGATGAAAAGGTTTTGGATATAGTGGTGATGATTGCACAATATTGTGAGTGTAACTAATGCCACTGAATTGTATACTCAGAATGGATAAAATGATACATTTTATGTTATTTTTTTCCTTAGTTAACATTTGAAGTATGGACAATTTTTTAGAGTTATTACTGTAAGTTATGAAATAGAGAAGGAAATTTTCTATTTTCCAGAAAAGAGAAAGGACCTTAGATAACCGTGGAAAACTCTTGGCTAAGCTTATTGTTAGTGGTGGTTAATTTTAGAGATGGTGGTCAGTTTGTTCCAGGATTAGCCCAGTGCACACAACCTGTGCAGCGAGACCAGATTTGGGTATGACAGGAGAGTGTTTCTGTGCCAATAATGGAATTAGCTATAAATCTCAGTCCTGAGTGTTATATATTTCTTTTACAAGGGCTAAGAGAAAACGTTGAGACTACTCAATTTAACACCCATCTTACTCCTTATGAAAGACCATTTGAAACTTTATTGAGGGAAATTTTATGTTTCTCTCTATAGAAAGCTATCAGACCATTTACATGCTTAAATTAAGTATTCTTTGCAAGGTTAACATTACTCATTAAATAGCTTTTTTTAAGCATATAAAGTTTACTTTTTTTATTATTATTATTTTGTTGGTTGTGAGGTCTGCCTGAACTCTGGGCCTGGGCATTGTACCTCAGCTTTTCAGTTCAAGGCTAGTGCTCTACCACTTGTGCCACAGTGCTATTTCTGGCTTTTTCTGCTTATGTGGTGCTGAGGAATCAAACCCAGGGCCTCATGCATTCAAGGCAAGCATTCTACCACTGAGCCACTTTCCCAGCCCCTAAGTATGTAAGGTTTAAACTCAGGGTTTCATGCTTGTTAGTCAGGTACTCTACTGCTTGAGCCCATGCCTCCCGTTGTTTTTGCCATGGTTATTTTTGAGATAAAGTCTTGCCTGAGCCAGCCAGGACCACAATCCTCCTATTTGTACTTCCCCCTATAGGTGAGATGATAGGTGTACACCATGATATTAGACTTTTGCTGAGATGTGGTTGGGGGAGTACCTCACGAACTTTCTTCCCATGCTGGTTTTGAACTGTGAACATCTCCCTCTTAGCCCCCTGTGTAGCTAGGTGATGGGTTCACATCACTGCACCCGACTATTGGTTGAGATGGGGGCTCTCATGAACTTTTTGCCCAGGGTTGGCCTGGTACCGCCAATTTCCCTAGTCTCCATCTCTGAGGATTTCAGGCATGATTCACTGGCCTTTGTTTATCAGATATTAATACAGTCTCTCAGTAAGTACTATATTCAAGTGATGACAGCTTCGTCTTTATCTACATACATGTTCTCTGTGTCCCCATGAGAGTCATTAATTTGCATTTTTTATTTGGGGTTGGCCAACCATTCATTTTGGCTAGTATATTTATTTAGTGGTCTCAAGCAAATTAGCTGATTTCTCTGAATATTATGTCTCATAGGTACTGTGTTAGTTTTCAAAGAGAATGGTATTCTTATTGTTTTGTAGCTGTTAAACATATCTAGCTGTCATCTTTTATTCAGCATTTGTAGAAGTTACTGTCATATATTCAGTAATAGTTTTTTCAAATATGTTGTGTTTCTAATATTTTTAGCTTCGAGATTCCACTGAGCAGTTTCAAGAATATTACAGGCAAAGATTACGCTATCAGCAACACTTAGAACAGAAGGAGCAGCAGCGGCAGATATACCAGCAGATGTTGCTGGAAGGAGGTGTGAATCAGGAAGATGGTTCTGACCAGCAGCAGAATCTTACTGAACAGTTCCTTAACAGGTTGGTCTTCTAGTCACTTTTTAAAATAGAAGGAATTTTCTGAGTACAATGCAACTTGATCAGTGTCACCCTTTCCTTCATTTCCCCCCACTTTCTTCCTCCCATCCCTATCCTCAGGTTACATTTACTCAGGTAGATACAGCTGTCATTTAGGGTGTCTGAGGGCTGTGGGGAAGTTACTGGATTTCTTTTTTGCCTGTTTATTTCCCAAGGTTGCTTTGAAGACTAAATGAGTTAAATCAATATAAGTTGCTTAAAACAGTACCTGGCACATGTAAGAACTATTTTGGCAGCTGTTAACTTCCCTCCCTCCTCCCACTTTTTGAACTCAGGTACTCATGCTTATTAATCAGGTACTCTACCACTGGAGCCCATGCCCCTCCAGAAGCAGCTGTTAATTTCAGTAGTGAGTGCATAAACCTACATAGTTAGCTGCTGTCTGGTGATCAATGCTTATAACCCAGTTATTTAGAGGCTGATACAAGAAGATAAGTTGAGGCTAGGAATTAAAGTTTGGGACATCCTGGCAACCTAGTATTTCAAAAAATAAAGAAGCAGCTAGGTGTTGGTGACTTATGCCTGTAATCCTAGCTAATCAGGAGGCTGAAATCTGAACTACATACTAAATAAACAAACAAACAAATAAATAACTGAGAAGTGCAAGGGAAGGGGTGAAATTGTCCAAAAAGAAATGTTACCCGACTTATGTATCTGTGACCCCTCTGTACATCACCTTTATAATAACAGTTTTTTTAAAAACTTAAAAGTTGGGTGTCAGTGGCTCACGCTTGTAATCCTAGCTACTCAGGAGGCTGAGATCTGAGGATCTGGGTTCAAAGCCAGCCCAGGCAGGAAAGTCTGTGAGACTCTTATCTTCAATAAACCCCCAGAAAACTGGAGTGGCACTGTGGCTCAAGTGGTAGAGTGCTTGCCTTGAGCTGAAGAGCTCAGAGGCAGCACCTAGGCCCAAAGTTCAAGACCAACAACCGACAAGATTAAAAAAAAAAACACTGAAAAACTGAAAAACAAAACCATTTGGATTCGATGTTAAAATGATTCTTCCAAAACAACATTAACTGTACTGTTTTAAATTATAGAAGAAATATATCTATAATGTGTATGTATATGCTTAAAATTAGTATATTATATATATATATATATATATATATATATATGTTTAAAAATTAGTAAACCAGGACTGGGAATATGGCTTAGTAGTAGAGTGCTTGCCTAGCATGTCTGAAGGCCCTGGGTTTGATTCCTCACTACCACATAAACAGAAAAAGCTGGAAGTGGTGCTGTGGCTCAAGTGGTAGAGTGTTAGCCTTGAACAAAAATAAGCTCAAGGACAGTGCCCAGGTCCTGAATTCAAGTCCCATATATAAAGTATATATATATATAATATATATATATATATAAATATATATAAATATAGTATGTATATATAAAGTATATATATATATAATATATATATATATATAAATATATATAAATATAGTATGTATATATAAAGTATATATATATAAATAAAGTATATATAAATATATAAATAAAGTGTATATATATATATCAGTAAACCACACCCACACACTTTTGTTTTTGCAAGTTTCAGGGCTTGAACTCAGTGTCTTATACTCTTGCTTGACTTGATTGCTCATGGCTAGCTCTCTACCATATGATCCATGTCTCCCATCTCTCATTTTTACTGGTTAATTTTGCTGGTTAAAATCTTTGGGATTAGGGCTGGGATGTAGCTCAGTAGCAAAGCACTTACCTAGCAAATGCAATGTCCCAGCTTCGATCCTCAGTACCAAAAAAGAAAAGACAAAAACAAAATACAATTAAAAAACAAAACCAACAAACTTTGAAATTAGCCAGGTGTTGGTGGCTCATCTGTAATCCTAGCTATTCGGGAGGCTGAGATCTGAGATTATAGTTCAAAGCCAGCTTGGGCAGGAAAGCCCATGAGACTCTGACTTCCTCCAGTTAATCACCAGGAAACTGGAAGTGGCTCAAGGTGGTTGAGCACTAACCTTGAGTAAAAATGCTCAGGGACAGTGCCCAGGCGCCCTGAGTTCAGGCCCCATGATGAAAAACAACAAAAATACCTTGAGGGGCTGGAAAGGTAGCTCAGTGGTAGAGCTCTTGCCTTGCATGCCTGAGGCCCTGGGTTTGATTCCTCAGCACCACATAAGCAAAAAGAAAAAAGCCGGAACCAGCACTGTGGCTCAAGTGGTAGAGCACTAGCCTTGAGCTGAAGAGCTGAGGGACAGTGCCCAGGCCCAGAGTT